ACACAGGAACTTGACACCTGATACAAAAAGTGAGCCAGCAGAACAGCAGATGAGACTGCACACCAGAAGGTAACTCGCCGTGGCGAGGCACTGCTGCAGAAAAGCAAGTGGAACTGATCGCACAGGGCAAAAAAGACAAATACTGCCATAAAAAAAAATTGAGTTGCTATTCTTAATACTTATATGAGAAATACTAAAGCAATTAAATCATTTGACAATTAAATCATTACATTGTATAATACCTTGGCAAGTGAGCAACAACACTGAGCAATTAGCCCTTGAAGCATGATCTGTGTTGTGTATCTAAAACTCATGTTGCAAAAATCACTCAAAAGGACAAAGCCTATGCAATATAGTTATGGTACTTTCTGCTCAACAAAAGTACATAGAAGGGACCGTTAGAATATGGCAAACCAGGATTCAGATATACTATTCAGGTGCTCTAGATGAACAAAAGGGTCAACAGAATTTTGAGATGTATCTGAAATATAATAACAGCTATGTTTTAATCGAGGGTATGCATGCTATTTGCCACATGTACTAAGTAAGTATTGCCCATGAATTTTCTCTTTGAAAAATTACAACTCTGGGGTCTCCCTAGTGGTGCAAGGGGTTAAGACGCAGCACAATGAAACTATCCAAAGCCACTGCAGCACACACAAGTTGGATCTCCGGCCAGGGAGCTGACCCACATGGCACAGCAGACCTCTCCTGACTCGCCCGCTGCATCCCTCAGAAGTGTATTTCCATCAGTCTGCCTGTTCTGTTCCCCACTCTGTCTCTGGTGAATCCTCTCACAGACACCCTGCACCTCTGCCTCTACCCCAGTTCTTGTATGCATGAATAAATAAATCTTTTTTAAAAAAAAAAAAGAAAAATTACAACTCTATGAGAGGAACTATTACTACCATGCCCATTTTACAGATGGACAAGCTGAAGCTCAGAGAAGTTAAGTTATTCAAGGTTCCACAACTAATAAATTGTAGGTGATGACAACACCTTGAACCCAGGCAGTTTGACTCCTGAGCTCATGGTCTGAACTACTGCCTCCTAATGTATTTAGATATTTAGGCAGGAAGTAATGTTTTCCTTAATGGCAGGACCAAAGCGACTAGAACACTTCATTCTAGAAATAGCATGGTATAGTGGAAGCAGTGTTAACTTTTTTTTTTTAAAGATTTATTTATTTATACAAGAACTGGGGTACAGGTCAGAGGTGCGGGAGGGTGAGAGGATTCACCAGAGAAGGCAGGGAGCAGAACAGGCAGATGGACCCAAGACACTGCTGAGGGGAGCAGCGGACTGAAGACACTGCTGAAGGGAGCAGCGGGCATGACAGGAGAGGTCTGTCTTGCCATGTGGGAATCTCCCTGCCCAGCCGGGAATCGAACCCGCGCTGTAGAGGCTGCGGACAGCTTCACAGTGCAGCGCTCAACCAGCTGCGCCACCGGGGATGCCCAGAAGCAGTGTTAAGTTTTAGAGTTAGGCAGAAATAGGCTCAAACCCTGACTGCCAACACCTGTGTGACCTTAGAGATGTCACTTAACTTCTTGATCATCAGTTTCTTTATAAAACTGAGACAGCAATGCCTCCCTTACAGGGTTGATAAATGAGATCACATGTAACACACTTGGCACACTATAAGTTCTTTAATGGTAGCCCTTGTTTTTCAATTATTATTATTTAGAACTGAGCATCACTGAAAACTGTGGCAGGGCCATTGTCCTGAAGAAACAAGAAAAAAGCAAGAAGTCACTTCATGAAGCTGAAAAATATTTGTAACTTTTCTACAAAGAGCGGATTTCCTTATAGAAAACCAATCAGTAATAGAAAACCAATCGTTCAATAAAAATATGGGTAAAGGATATAAAGAGTTCAAAGAAATGGAAATACAAATAACTTTTGAACATGTACAAGATGTTTCTATTTGGGAGAAGTTAAGAAACCTACACTGCTATCTCTTACCTATAAGACTGGCAAACCAGAATTTTGATAATGCACTGTATGTGTGGGTGTAAGGAAATAGACACTCTTATATTACTGAGGGGAGTATAAATTGGTCCTACCTTCACAGATAACAGTTTAGCAATATCTACCAAGTTATAAATGTACAAACATTCCAGTCCAGAAACCTGACTTCTAGGAATTTATCCTACAGATATACTCAACCTGCATGAAATGACATAAATAATGTTATTCACTGCAGCACTTTCTGTAGTAGAAAGAGCTGGAAATAACTGTAGTGTCTCATTTATAGTTACTGGTTAAATTGATGTTTTTATGAGATACTTATTATGCAGCCATAAAAAATGAAGAATCTTCTATATATGTGATAATGGAATGAGTTCTAATACATATTATTAAAACAAGATTTAACACACAATATGCTACTATTCATGTAAAAAGGAGGCATTAAACTGTAGGTACACATTTATCTCTTTTTTTAATTTTAATTTTATTTATACACATTTATCTCTTGAATGATATTATTAACATTGGTTGCCTCTGGGGAGAGGAACTGAGTGGTTAGATGGTAAGGGTGGGAGGGAGATTCCTTACTATATCTTCTCCCTCTGCTTTTTGACTTTTGTATCATATTAATGTATAAATTATTCAAAAATGAATATATTTTAAAAATAAAATTACTCCCTAGTTCAGAACCCTGAACTCAACTAAAAAGTAGAGAGGTGTGATGGAAATCACTTCCAGGAATAAAAGTCCTATATTTCAGCTACAATACTTCCAGATGCCCACTAATCTCCAATAGATTATTTATTTATATGTCTAAGTATCTCAAGCAGGGCTGGAATAAATCTGAGGTGAGGAAGGTACTTGCCTCATGTCAAACATGAAAATGGATTCCAAAAAATTCAGTAATTGATAAAATATTTTAATGAAATATTTTATTTTTTTTAAAGATTTATTTATACAAGAACTGGGGTACAGGCCAGAGGCACGGGAGGGTGAGAGAATTCACCAGAGCCAGAGCCAGGAGCAGAACAGGCAGGCGGACCGAAAACACTGCTGAGGGAGCAGCAGGCATGACAAGAGAGGTCTGCCACACCATGTGGGTATCTCCCTGGCTGGCCGGGAATCAAACCCTGCACTGCAGAGGCTACGGACAGCTTCAGAGTGCTGCGCTCAACCTGCTGCGCCACCGGGGAGGCCCTAATGAAATATTTTAAATAAAAAGTAATGCAAAAAAATTCTTGATGAACAAAATATCAAAATTTAAAATAAAGGCAGGATCAACAACATTGCCAAAATGAGCCATACTGAGGCCTGGAGCAGAAAGAAAAGTGTGGGGTCCACATACATGTTTGTATGTATTCTTGAACGGTTTTTGTTTTCTAGAACCTTAAAGTAGTTGAAGAAAATGTTGAAAAATTGTAAAAGATATATTGAAACTCACAAAATTAAGATGAAACCCGTGTTTATTAAAATTTTTACTTTCCTGGTTTTTTTAATGGAAGCAAACTCCTCAGTAATATTTTCATTAAAACCAATAATACTTTCATTAAATGTTTTCTCAGGCCTAATATAAAGAAGTAGAATTTAGGGGGCATGCTAGTAATCTGGTGCAACTTAAATGCAAGGTAGATACTGGAGAATCTCTGGAGGTAAGGATCACAAGATAGACACAGTATTAGTTAAGCCATGCTAAAGGATTTGGATGTACTTTTGCAGTGATGGGAAACTTCTAAAGTATTTTAAACACATGTTTTAGGATGTCTACAATCACACCAATGTTGAGGACTAAAAAAAGCATAAGACTGGAAATAGAGATCTGATAGATTCTTTTTTTTAAAGATTATTTATGCATACAAGAACTGGGGTACAGGCCAGAGGTGTGAGGGGTGAGAGGATTCCCCAGAGACAGAGTGGGGAACAGAACAGGCAGACTGACTGAAATACACTGCTGAGGGGAGCAGCGGGAGAGTCAGGAGAGGTCTGCTGCGCCATGTGGGTAGCTCCCTGACCGGGGATGGAACTGGTGCTGCAGTGGCTGCAGATAGCTTCATAGGGTGTGTCTTAACCCCTTGTGCCACCAGGGAGGCCCGAGATCTGACAGATTCTTAACGTAGAAACATAACAGAGGCATCGCCATAAAAGAGGAGGTTCCATTTTTCCTGTCCATAAGGAATGGTGGAACTGGGGGCTGGTGAAGCTAGGTGGGTGCAGGAAAGACATGTGGGGAAGGGAGATGAGGAGACACATGGAGAAGAAGCACCTGCTTGCTTCTTGGCTTTGGATTTGCACCAGGAACTTGGGGGGACTTGGAGGAAACAAGTGGAGCAGCCACATGTGGAGACAATTGGAAGAGACATGGGTGAGAGACTGTGGGGAGGCTGACAATGGCAGCCTTTGTCTTTTTTTAAATTTTTTATTTTAATATTTATCATTTTTTACATTTTTTGATAACATTTGCTTCCCCCCACCCCCCCCAGATTGAGTCCCCATAGAATCTCCTTCCCGAAGGCACCCGTGCACCATCACCACAGTCCCCTTGCTCCTCCCTCCCTCCCTCTCACCCCCTTCCTCCTCCTCCCCTGCAGGATGTCTCTGGTTTATAATTGTCTGTTTTTGCTCTTGTTATGATTTGTATTGTTATTATTATTTTTTACACTGATGTCTTATTTGATTTCCCTATATTCCTGTTATAAGTGAAACCATCCGATATTTTTCTTTTTCCTTCGGCTTATTTCACTGAGCATAATAATAAACTCATGCCATTCACAGCAATGTGGATGAAGCTAGAAGGAATTACACTCAGTGAACTAAGCCTTTATCTTGATTTGTACTTTTACTTTGCTCCTTTCATCCCAGACTTGCCTGGCCTCTT